AACATCTCGAAGAGCGGTTGAGCGCAATGGAAATCCAAAAAGTGCCTGGCTTGGACTTTGAGGAATTGGGTTTAGTATCGGGAATTGTCATTCCTCCAAAATTCAAAGCACCTGTGTTCTCCAAATATGACGGAGTTTCCTGCCCTAAAATGCATCTCCGGTCCTATGTGAGGAAAATCCAACCCCATACCGCTGACAAAGACTTATGGGTACACTTCTTCCAAGACAGTCTGTCTGGAACTCAACTTGATTGGTTTTATCAGTTAGAAAGAGCCAACGTTCGCAACTGGGAAGATCTTGCCGCAACCTTTTACAAACAATACCAATACAATATTTATCTTGCGCCTACCCGTACTCAACTCCAGAGTATGGACATCATTTCCAATGAAGGTTTCAAGGACTATGTGAAAAAATGAAGAGACTTGGCTGGAAGAGTTCAACCTCCCCTATCTGAAAGAGAATTAGTGGACATGTTTTTGGGCACCTTATCTGGTCCCTTCTTCAATCACCTAATTGGGAGTTCATCGGCGGGTTTTACCGAACTGATATTGACCGGAGAAAGGGTAGAAGCTGGGATAAAGAGTGGAAAGATTCAAAAAGATACATCCTCTGCTGCTATAAGGAAGCCATTTATCGGAAAGAAAGAAGTGGTTGTTGTTTATCCTCAGAGAAATCAAGATAGGGCCGAACGTCGTCCAATGGTGGGGGTTGTTATGATTCCTAAACCTGTGCCTGATCAGCAAAGAAACAACCAACCAAGGATGGAAAGACCAGTCAGACAATTCACCAGAATTAACATGACCCTATCTCAAGTATTTCCGCATCTGTTAAGATCCAACCTGGTGACTTTGAAAGAAGCTCCAAAAAACCCTAACACAACATCTCCTCACTATCATCCTAATGCCCACTGCGCATACCACTCTAAGAGTCCCGACCATGACACTAATAACTGTTGGGCTCTAAAGAACAAAGTACAAGACCTCATTGAATCCAAAGAGATTGAATTTGATGCGTCCGAAAAGTCAAATGTCAATTCTGCCTCTATGCCTAAACATGGCCATAATACCAATGCCATTGAAGAAGAAATATTTGTTACTTCAGTTGATGAACTTATGACCCCACTCCTGACTATTAAAGTGAACTTGTTGAATGTCGGTGTGTTCCTAAGCTGCGATGAAGGCTGTCATTTCTGTTTGTCCTCACAAGCCAGCTGTCCTTTGTTGAAAACAGGCATTCAGTGCCTAATAGATAACAAAGAAATTTTGTTTGAAAAGACTTTTGTTCCACCTGTTCCTTTTAAAGATGTTTCTATCATTACCATTTCCGCCAATTCTTCCAAGGTGAGGTTATGAACTATGTGAAAGAGGTGAGGTTACAAACTCACAAAAGAACGTATGAATTGCTTTAGATGGAAGAAAGTGAGAGCATAACTGATTTTTTTTACTAGGGTTACGAAACTAGTGAATCAAATCAAAGTATGTGGAAAAGTGTTAACAACAAGATCAGTTGTTGCAAAGATCTTGAGATCTTTAGCTTCGAAGTTCAACGACATTGTGGTAGCCATAGGAGTCGAAAAATTTGTCGAAATTGACAAAAGAAGAGCTTCAAGGGATGCTTGAATCTCATGAACAAATAATGGATGAAGGAGTTGTAGGAAAGTCGAAGAGTAATGTGGTTTTGCAGGCGCATTAAGCAAGAGAAAATAAATGCAAAGGAAAGTGGTTCGACAACAAAGGTAGAGGAGGCTACAACAATTCGACTGGTAGAGGAGACCAGCAGAAGGAATTGTGTTGAATCAGAGAAGATCCCCATACCAAGGCAAACAAAGAGGTGGTGTTGGAAGTAGAAAAAGAGGTGGTGGTCAAAAATCTGACAAGAGTCACATTCAATGTTTCAATTGTCAGAAATATGGTCACTATTCTAGTGATTGTCCAGAAAAAATGAAAGAATCGAGAAAGTGATGCAAAATTTACGAAACATGAAGAAGAGATGATGTTGATGGTCACAACAAGAGAGGCCCCGACAAAACAATTAGAGGCATTGTTTAACCATATTTTAATAGTGATAAGATTTATGAAGCCCTATTTAGTTACAATTTAACTCATAATAACTTTTAGGTCATGTACGGTAGTCCATCTTGCATGCCCTCAAAGACGGTCCTGCTCGAAAATTATTCATCTTTATCACTGATACAAATGTCTCATCGTAATCAAAGTCATATGTCTGAGTATAATTTTTTGCCACTAGTTGGACCTTGTAATGATCGAGAGTGTCATCTGATTTATGCTTTATAGAGAAGTTAAGGTTGAGGATTATAAACTCAAACTCAAAGTTGGAGTCATTCATGTTCTCCCTCTGAGGTTGAGGACGAGTGAAGTAAGACATGTTTTCATAAAATGTGATATATTAATTCTTAAAACAAATAGAATTCACAGCATCGGTAGCCAAGGCCTTCACATTAGAAATGGGTAGAAACAAAGTACTTATGACTCGGAGGTTGATAATATTTGTACATTCTTCTGTTAAGAGGATAACTTCCAGAGATACATCTAAGGGCACGTGAATCCAACTTATTTTGGTGTTGCTTTTAGACGTGGACAAAAGCCACACAACCAAATACTTGAGATTTGAGACCCTACAACATAGAAGCAGAAGGAAAAAGTGAGATTATAAGTTGAACAAGACTAAAATTACATATAATACGAGATGGCATTCAATTACTTATATAAGCAACGATCATGATTGCTTCACCCCAATATGATTTTGAACGAGACATTTGTAAGAGAAAAGCTCGAACGACTTTTAGTAGGTGACAATTTTTTGTGACACCATTTTGTTATTTGAGTGTCAACACATGTGAATTCATAGATGATATCCTATTTACTAGTAAAGTTGTAAAAATTATGATTGACAAATTGTTTACCATTGTTAGAACATATTCTTTTAATACCGTTCCTAAATTGTCTTTGTATCATATTATATAATTGAATAAATTCTAGTATTTTTTATTTGGAGAAAAATGACCAGCCCTTGTTGGAAAATGTAATAGGATGGATAATTCTCTGAATTTAGGTCCCTTGAAATACATCTTCTAGACCTCTATTTTCCACTTTTTTTACCAAGCAGATCCTATATATTTTGATGTGTTCTACTCTATAAATAAAGGATTAGGTTCTTTTCAAGTTCTTAGACTTCGCTATAGATTTAAAAATCCAAGTTATAAATAGAACAACAAAAATGGAATGTGGAACTAAATAATTTGGGTGGTCAAATTTCCATAACATAGTTGATGAATGGCAAATTGATGCAAACCTTTCTTCGGAGTTTCCTTTCCTGTACATAAAGAAGGTGTCGATTACTCATAAACTATTTCTACTCAGAATATTTAGTTTTTCACCACTGTCATCAGAAGATCGTGCCACTAGAACACGGATTTGAAGAGAATGAATGAAACCACTTTAGTTTTTTGAAGGATATTAGAAAGCAGTAAAGATGGTATGAAAAAAATACACACCCAATATCTTTTGGAATAAGAACATTTACAACGAAGTAATGATCGCCGTGAATAGATGGTTTATTCATTTCTGGAACTCTCAAACGTGATAGTTTCACCGAATGTCCATGTTGAAGGAATTTTGAGATTCCTTATAATGCATAATGTACCAGCAACTCTTGTTTTTTTCAAAAACCCAAAAATTCTGTGGCATTAAATTGAAGTATAGTTAAAAAGAAAAGGCATGGAAATGAAACAAATCAAAGAAAGATGCAGTATAGGTTTACTGGGGCGTAGATCTCCTGCAACGAGGTACAGAATAGTCATGTGGTAAAAAGAAGACTTCCAAAAATATAGTTGTGTTGTCGGTCAAGAAGTTTTGGTCCGGAACGGACTATCTCGAGGTGGCCAGGCTTAAAGGGTTATGGACGGTCCAAAACAGTTGCCTCCGGCCCTCACATCTCTCTCAACCTCCACTAATGTATATAGCAACTCAAAGACAATACTCACATCAAAACATACAATTTTCATATTTAATACAATACTTTCATTTTCATATGCATTTTAATATATTTTCAATAGATTCCTGACACAATATTTTGTTGTCTAAACTGAAACTGAAACTATGTTGATACAATATAGTTTCAATAGTTTCATGTACCACCCAAGAACCGAAACTGATCCCATCTCATCAAACTTATAACTAATTCATAAAATCAGAAGTATATTGATGTAAGATATTACAAGTCAAATACTAACCAACAAAGCTGGAATAGCTCAGTTGGTTAGAGCGTGTGGCTGTTAACCACAAGGTCGGAGGTTCAACCCCTCCTTCTAGCGTTTTTGATTTTATTTTCAGTTTCTTCCTTCATTTGCAAAAAAATCTATCAAAAATCCGTGGACGGCAGGATTCGAACCTGCGCGGGCAGAGCCCACATGATTTCTAGTCATGCCCGATAACCACTCCGGCACGTCCACTACTTGTTATGACTTTATAATTAATCATTTTTATTGAGGTCTGGTTCAGACTAACTCATCTGTGTTGTTATATATAATTTGACATTGGATCAATATAGTGAGATGCTAAAAATGCTTCAGTTATAAATTATAAATATTATAACATTTCATATAAATATAAGAACATTAAGCATAAAAGATAATCCTTACACCTTCCACCTTCTATTCGTGGGATTCCTATGCCTCTTCTTCCTTTTAGCCATCAATATCAATTAGTGATATTTGTTAGCCATACAAACAATAATTAAGAAGTTGAATGGAAGTACAAATGGAGGGGAAATAACAGAGAAATGTAAAACAGGGCTAGGTCTACGACACTAAAATCATTCTCCTTTAGAAGTATCATCAATTATATATATTAAAGGACATGGTACAACAACGGATAATGTTAATAAAGAACATTCAGATCTTACTAGAAATGAAGGCCTTGAGTCTGGTCTTGAACATAATCTTGTGTCTAATGATTCCAACAACCTGTAACTCAACATCACTACAACTTTCTCCATCCATATGCTTGACTTTCTTGAGCACTAACAACGGCTTTTTCAAGGAAACCTTTGACCCTGTCAGTTCATGGTACACAATAGTTTAAGTGTAGACTTCCTGAACAACAAAAGAATGGACACAATATTAGTCTCTTTCTTCCTAATAAGATGAAAAGTGATAGTGAATTCCAATCATCCTAAAGATTATATCTTAAACTCTTACAAATTCGGATTCAATTAGAAGAAAACTCAGTTACGCATACTATTAAATATCAACCATAGATTTGAGATTGATTGATTCACATTACACCTTCACCAAATCATCTCTAAACAATTTCACCGTTAATTTGACATTTGACTATAAAGATAAAAAAACTAGCCACACAGTAATTATACAGAATCCAAATATGGTCGTTTATAGTATAAGAGACAAAATTGATCTGCTTTTTTCATTAGTAACATCAACCCAGAATTACTTTATTCATTTTTATGAACAAAACACTGGACACTTGTGAAATTTTGTCTAATATTTCCTAGTAATTTGACTAAAACAAAAGTGATATTAATTGTAGGTCTAACTTGATTAAACTAAGCAACTTTATCTTAGTAATCCTTCATAATTTTGCTCAGATAATTGAGAATTAAGAATATCATTAAACAGTTTTTACTCTTAAAATTACAATTATACTAAATACTAAATTAGGAATCCAATAATAGACCAGTAAATGAGAGATTTTATCCATGTCATTGTCAAAATAACACCCTCACTATCTAATACAATAATCTCTTACACTGTTAGTGTTAGTCCATATAAAATCACAATCTTTCCATTTTAATCCGAAACAAATTTTATTCACTATTACTCTCTATTTCAAAAACTCTGTAGGCTTAATCCCCACTTGAAAATGAAAAAAAAGCTAACCAAATTGACCATTAATCAAACCCTAATTGCACTTCACACGAATCTGCATATTTTTCCCTCTCTTTTTCAATTTCTGAATCAGTATAGTAATAGTAATACAATTGAATGTTGATATTTTAGTATCTTAGTATAAATGAAAATTACAAAATAAACAAAGATAAATATTTATCTAAGTAGCAAATGCAAAAATTGAAGAAGTTCGGAGAACCACGTTTACTAACAATGAACGGCGGAAATAGATGACGGCGCGACGCAATGAGAAGAAGAGACGGTAGACTGAGAAGTCGAACTCCGGTTGAGCGGAGGATCGCCGGAGTAGGAAGTCGGTGTGCGGTCGGGGTAGCAGGCTGCGCCGATCTGGGGTTTTCAGTTCTTCGTGTTCGACGCGATTTTTTTTTTCAATTGTTAGAAGAAAAAGTGGGAAATGAATTTCCGCCCAAATTGAGAGTGTGGGAATTATTATTACTTTTTGCGCCATTTTTTAGTTTTATTTGATTAAATTATTGGTACAAATTACTAATTGGTATCCAATTTGATAGAAGAGTTTTGTGATTTTAAGTTAATTTAGAGTTTTATTTGATTAATTTACTCTAAATTCACCTTAAGTGTCACTCTATTGTGATTTTTTAAAAGTTCTAAAATGTAGTTTTTGCCTAAATGTGAAAAGCTACTGTGATTTTGTAAAATTCAATGCTAAACAAAATATATCATAATTTTCTTTTTATTTTCTATTATTTTATCTTTCAATTTTATCAAATTCATTTTTATTTGTTTTAATTTCATTTTCATTTCTAAAACTCTGTTGAATATGTTCTTTTTCAGAACCATAAATGTGTAGATTTGTGGAACTTGCGGTTAATGAGAGTTTTCGATGCGATGGAGAAGGGTGTACCTGTAAAATTAGCATTTTGATGTTCAAGTCGGTATGTGAATGATGATGGTATTCAAATTGTGTTTGAAACTTGTTCCCTGAAATGACGCCATCTCGTATTTATATAGAAGAGGAATAATTGTCTCGCTACTTTTTCAGTGTGGAATACGGAGGACCGTTGGATGCTGAAGCGGTAGAGCGACAAGTAAAAAATAAGTTATTAATTTACCGGGTGATATAGGTTATATCGTATCGTGTCCACAAAGATTGGTTATTGAATCGTCGTTTGACAAATCAATCGTTAATGAGTTTGGGAATAAATAGGTTGAAAAGAAAAGTTTCAACAGAAAATAAATGTAAACAAAAGAAAAAACTGAGGAAGAACTTATCAAGCCTACATATAATCTACTCATCACAGGCTTAAATCTACCAACCAGTTACATTCATCCTAACAATACTCATCAATGTCATTACGTATCACTCACAACCTAAGTCATTTCTAACCCAAATTGAGATACCGACTGTATCACCAAGGAAATACTACCTCCTCAATAACACAGAAGACAACAATGTAATCGCACTGACGATCTCTCTATTGCAATGACTTTTTTATCAAGAGTCGCCACTATTACTTTTTATCCTAGGGAAGGGAATCTAACATAAAACCCTAATTCGCAAACAGAGATTCTAGGTTTCGGATTCAATTAGACGAAAGGAAGGTGTTAGGCACCCTTCATCTACCTTGTTCACAAGGATATTAGCCTCTAGGTTTAGGTTTGGGGTAAACTGGATTTTGAGTTTTAATTAGCAAGACTCGCCACAATTTTAGATCGTGTGCATATGTATCCTCTTATAAGGAACCAGAGTCTCAATTTGTAGTTCGTGTGGGGTTGGTGTTTTTTTAGGGGTTTGCAAACATATTTTGAATCACTTCGCACTCGGTCGGGAGTAGTGATTACGGAGATTTTGACTGAGTATGCAGTAAGCTAAAATTGGTTTGAAACTCATTTGCAAAAAGACTGTTGATTAGCTTAGTTTTATTGCGAAAAATAGTTTGAGATTTGTTGGTATTTTTTAAATGTATTAACTGCGAAAATCTCTTGATTAATACATGATTAAAAATGTTTTAATGCAAATAGTATAGAAAATAGTATACGCAATTTTTCATGAAAAAGATTTATTTTATCATATAATAATATTTATACATAATAAATATTATTTAATATATGGTAATAAAATTAATAATAATTATTATAATTATTAATAAATAATTAATAAACATAATATAAATATAATATAATATAAAAAAACTATAAAAGAAATAAAATAATAATAATTGTTTTGAATAAACATGGGGGTGTATTTCTTAGTTGTGAAGCAAAAGTATAGGGTGCTAAAAATAGACTGAATCAGGCCCAAAATAGTCCAAACAAAGGGGGGTGCAAACTGCTTCACAGTTTAGTGAACAAAGATAAAGGGGGTGTGCTTAGTAGTTGGGCTGGGCCCAACGCGTTTGAAGGGGAAGCCTGCTGGATCAGGTGTGTGAGGATACATGCGCGCTATCGTAGAACTTGGCCTTACGGTCGTTCGATGAAAATCCAATGGGTGATATCTGAGGGAGTATGATGACTACCATGGGCGCGAGGCATAGGATTGAAACAGATACTAATAGTTTGTCATTCCTTTCCATTTTCATTTCACTGTTATGCTTTGCAGAAAAGAGAAAACTTATCCTCTCTCTCTCTCTCTCTCTCTCCTACAGCAACCCTTCGCCTCCTTCATCTTTCTCATCAACCCAAACGCGACCCTAACTCCCTTAGCACCTCCGGTGGCGTAACCATGTTTCACCTCCTACCCAAACTCCAAAAAACAACAAATAGATAAATATAAGATGATTTCATCCCCTCGCGGTTTCTGATCCCGAGTTCTCCGAGTCTGGCTCGCTAACCCCTTGTTCTTCTCTGTCCTTTTTGTAGGTGACGGTGAAGCTTCAAAGGCTGACGGCGGCGTATGACGGTGGAGTGCGGGGTTATCAGTGGCGGTGATGTCAAAGGGGGGTTGGGGTTTCCGATCTGGAAACTCTAATCCCTTTCTCTTTTTGGATCTTCAGTGCGAGGGTATGTCCTGATTTCGTCTCTGTCTCTAAGCCCTCCTTCTGTAAAACACGGTCTTCTTCCTCAAAATCTCCACTGTCAACAAAGTTTCCCCCTTTTATGTACTTTCTCCGCCCATATATATAGTTTAATTTTTAGGGTTTAGTTATTTTAGTTAGAACTTAGATTTAGGGATTATGAGAAATTAGGGATTTGTGATTGATTGTAATTGGATTTTTTTTCAGATTTGTTATTCTGTGATTTGATTTTGTACTTTAATGAGATTGGTTTAGCGGTTTGTAACTAGATCTTGTAAGATTTGATTTTCTCTATGTAATGTTTGAATGTTGTAATAGGTATTAGAGATTGGATTTGATGAAGATTTAGTTTCTAATATACAAAGATTTTGCAGTAATATATTCTCAATAATTTTTGGCGTTGATTTGTACAGTACCTGTTAGTATGTGTCATTTTGTTTTAATCAGCACGGTAGTTGTTAGTAGAGAACTTGGGGTCTTAGTTATATCTGTATGTATTTTTTTTTTACGCCTAACCACTACTGTAACAAAAAACACTACATTGGCAATTAACAAACAGTCCTCCCTTTTTAATTCCCTTGGGCCCAATATTTTTTCTTAAAAATAGATTTTTCTTAAAGAAATGCTCTTTAAAACTAAATATTTAATAAACAAGAAAAATTGTTTCAACAATATTCTATTCTGACAAACAGTAAATGACGGACGTTGGTTTTAACAAATCAACCTAAGCAAATTTTCTTTAAAATAAGACTCTTAATAAAACTATTAATAACCAAGTATATTTTTGTTTTTATAAAGGATTATTTCACTTTAGTAAATCCACTATAACAAAAAATGTTTTCTTTTTTTATTATTAATTTCCTCTAAACAGAAAATAGGTTAAAAAAAGAACTCTGATGGGCCTTAATGAAACTCTACACCCTCCTTTCTTTACTAACAACAGTAATTTCTGAATGACTTTAATTTAACTTAAAACAACTTAAACTTAAGTTGACTTTATAATTTAATAACTTAGTAATAATTTTATTGTTTTTCTTTTCAATTGCATGGGCCACTCGCCAACATGCGTCGCGAACGGATTTATGAGTCTTTCTGATTTAGAAATCCCTTATTAAAATATATCCCCTAGTCTTGGATAAATATGGGCCATCAGATACTGTTGTACCATCTTTAATTGAATACTTCTTCAATTCTAGTCTCGAAAAATAAAATTATCGAGGTAGGACAAATTTTGGGTATGACAGTTGCCCCTAAAGAAATTCAAGGGGATTTATGGCACTTTTTCATAGAGTTCCAAGGGGAATCTTCAAAAGAAATTCAAAGATGGGTTGTAGAGCACATTGCAAGCTTTCCAAAATGTCCAAGAACTCCTTGAGATCATTCTTGATTAGGGAGAATAGAAGAGATGAAGTTAGGGTTTTGTCACTTGAATTACAAGTCATTTTTGATGAACACGTGAACAAAATCCATGCTAGGCTGCATAATCCTTACTTTACAGACCTCAAACTTGTTTGTCACTCCATAATTAAATGTTTACAAAGCTGTTAGAGCTTTGATCCAAGCATTTGAGCTATTATCCAAGTTGCATTTCCATTAATGGCACAAAGTAACATTGCCATTCTTGTAAAGCAAGCTTTTTTGCATAAAGTTCACATTGAGCCTCTAACTTGTTCCCTCTGATTACACTTCATCCACAAAGTCAGAAGCAAGCTTGTTTAAAGCATAATCACTCTATCTTAGCAAGTACAAAAGACTTTGAAACTTGTTTTGTCAAAAAATCACATGTTTAGCTTAAGGATGCAAATTTGAATTCTGATCAACTAGAGCATTCCAAACTTGTTGCTTGTAAATAGAGTCACTATTTTTGAGCTAGAACACGAGCTTGAACATCCTGAAATACACTAAAATTCTCTGAAATCAGAAATTGCACAAAAAAACCATTGTTGCACAGTTTCTGACCTTTAACCTCAAACTCACATTTCCCTCGTGCGTTTCTTGGCCTTTTAGTTTCTAAAGCTTCCTTACATCAAGTGTAACTCATCCCTGTACCTGTTTCATTTCTTTAACATAATTTACCCCATCTTCCATAACCAAAAACATAGCTTTGCACATTGACTTCTCCAAGTCATTTCAGCCACTCTCAACTCAAGAAAACTATTGCATTAGCTTCCTAGGACTTCAAGGAAGCTAACCTGATCATCACCATCACTTGAAACAAGCTCAAACTCCAATCATGATTTCCAGTTTTGAGGCAAGTTTTCTCAACTTGAAACTCTTCATACAAGCATCATCAATAATTTATTTATGAATAAAACATATAGATATTATTACCCTGTGTTGTACCCCAAAATTTGCCCTCGTATTTTTCCACAAGAAATCACAACTTCAGGCTTTTCCTGATTTTTCAGATTGGCTCAAGAATCGGTCAAACAGGCTTTTCTCGTCAGTCAGACAAAATTAGGGTTTTTATTGATTT